CTTTACAGATGAATCTTCCCCAAGGACCCCTCAGGCCATGGGAAGACCGGTCACCCTCCCTGCCAACTCTTGCAGAGCAGCACCCCCTTCCAAATAGCCTCCCCCTCTCTGCTCCCAGCTGGGGCTGATCCAGCCTGCCCCTCGCCTCTCTCTCCCCTGGCCCAGGGTGGCTCCTTCTCCTTATGATGGTGGACAAGCTACCCTTTCGGAGCCTGACCTTGTCCTCACCGCCTGTTACAGCCGTGCTCATGATCCCCTCCCCCAGAGGGAGAGGCTCAGCCACAGACCCCACCCCATCTGAAATAAACATTTGGTGCAGAAGAGGAGGAGGAGGAGGAGCCCAGCTGGGAGCGCCCACCTTCCTTCACTGAGGTGAACGGAGAGGGCGACAGGGCCACTGCCTGTCAGTCTCCAGCGCCCAGGGAGGACTCCGGCAGGAGCCTGGTACCTCTCAGACATTTGTCCTCATTTAAGCTGCCCCTGGGCTGGGTGCTCTCCTGGTGTGTCCTGTGCACTGAGGTACACAGACAGAAACAGCCTTTCGTGAGAGCTATCTTCACACAAGCCACCCGTGAGGGCGTCCAGCAGACCCCCAGCCCTGGGCCAGGGCCAGGGAGCATGGGGTGACCTAGGAGTAGCCAAGGCAGAGATGCCTTTTCCTGGGGTGCTGGAGGCTACGGCCCAGGCAGGAGGGGTGCAGAGCGGGGAGGAGCAGAGGCCTATGATAGGTACCCCTATCCAGCTCCGTGGGAGCCCAGCATCCACCCACCCTCAGCTCAATGCCTGGAGCTCACTGCAGACCCTGCTCAGAGCAGTGGCCTCCAGTCCCCATCATGGTCATCATGGGTCCTCTCGCCTTCACGAGAGCCCAGGCCCCAGAGTGTAAGGCAGGAGCACCCATCTAAGAGACAAGCTTGGGCCAGGCACCCGAACATCAGAACCAGGACACTGCCCTGGCCCAGACCCCGTGTGGCAGGGCCCCCAGCCCGGTGGACCCCACTAGAGAGAGGAATCCAGTGGATGTATGGCCGGGGCTGTGGGAGGGGCTGCCTTTCGGAGCTTTTCGTAAGCAGGGTCCCCAGCAGGTGGAAGGGGCAGGAGCCAGGAAATGCTCAAGTGAGCCCTGGTGAGCCTGGGCCTGAGAGACGGGGCCTGGGGGCCGCCCAGGCCCGAGGAGAGCAGGCCTTCCCCTTCCCGGTGTGGGGCCTGCAGCGGCCAAGGAGGGCCCATCTGTGGACTCCGAGTTCTGCGGCTGTGACTGGCCTTTCTGGGGCATCGGCTTGAAAGTTTCTTGGCATGACCCTGGGCTCCAAGAAGCTTAGTCATCCGCTGCCCGGAGACTTCTTGCCTAGCCCTTCAGGAAGGCAGAGGGTATTACTGTCGCCCCAACCCAGCCATGGCTGGGCGAACACTGCTCACAAGCTTCCGGAAACCGCTCCGAGGGGTTCGACTGGATTCCCGACTTGCGGTCAGCACAGAGAACACTCTGCTGCCTTCCTGGGGGGATTGGACTAGGCGCGGGGCCGGGCCCCGTGTGGGGAATAGGCCACGGTGTCCTGGGAGTCTTGCCTCTTGGGCATGTTGAGGGGGAGAGCCACCTGCCAGACACAGTCAGGGGGCAGGGTCTGGAGCAGGCAGATGCCTCCTGGCTTCTTGCCACAGAAACCCACGTGTGGATGGTGTTTAAGTTCCTGCCATTGCTCAAGGGACCCGGAGTGGGACTTGGACGGCCTAGCCCTGGCTTCTCCCAGGAAGGGTGCGGCCCCATTGCTTCTGTGCGGCTTGCTGTGGCCTCACTGGGGACATTGCAGCTCGCAGAGAGCGAGTGGGGAAAGCTGGTGGAAGTGGTCCTGCCAGCCCAGCCCAGGGGCCAGTGGAAACCAAGCGAGGGCCACGGGGAAGTGGGCAAGGGCCTGGCATACCCCACGCCGTGCCACACGGGCAGAGCAGACCACTCTGAGAGCCCCGGGGCCCAGGGATTGCCCCCAGCTCTGGGCAGCAGGAACCTGAGAGTCCCCTCCGTGACCAGGTGTCCAGGCCCAGTGGGAAGGGGGTGGGCGAGGAGTGAGGCCATCAGAGTCCTCTGCCCTGGAGCCCTTGGAGTCAGCCTGAGCCCAAGCAGGAGTCTGCACCCCCAGCCCCAGCCCTCCCGGTGCTGACTCAGCTGGCGTGAGGCGGCTGTGCGTGTTGAGCTGACCCCGCCAAGCCCTGCCGAACTCTGAGGAGGGTGGCCAAAGCGTTTCACCTCGAACCCCAGCCTAGCCTGCAGGACCCCTCCCTTCCTGGGCAGAATGCAAGAAGCACCCTTGGCCGATCCCCTGCCCTCCAGCTCCAACTCGAGTTGTCTGGGATCGGCCACAGTTTGGCCTGACCTCTGCCCCGGCTGTGGCCATGACTGTCCTTGGACCCCTGTTGGTTCACAAATTGGTCCCCAAACCTGGAGGGCAAGGAGGGACCAGTGAAAGAGACAGGCCACTCCATATTGGCAGGTGGCAGGGTTAATAAGCACGGGAACTTTCGAGGCCTATCTTGGATGCGGACAGACGAGTAGATCTCCCCAGTCACCTGCCAAATCTTAGTTTACAGAGAGGCCTTCCGGGGTTTAGTCACATATCAGTCCAGATGGTCTCAGCAACACAGTGCTCTCCCAAGGACGCCTCGAGGACAGCTCCCACTGTGGGAACGGTGGGCAGAGTGCCCTCAGGGACGGCGACGGAGTGAGGAGCCTGCAGCGGCCTGGGTCCAGCTCCAGGTCAGCTGGTGGTCACATGCTCCCGTTAACCTCCTCCCACACCCACAGGCATGGTTGGGACACTGCACACTGCTGACTCTCAAATCCCTGGACAGGCCTCCTCCCCTTCACTCGGGTCCCCTCCCTCAGCTCCTGAACCAGCCAGACCCCAGGCCTGGGCCAGGAGAGAGGGCAGGAGGCGGCCAGGTGAGGAAGAAGTGATGAGATGGCTTGCCCAGGTGTCAGCCACGGCCAAGAGCACACGGAGAGGCCAGGGAGACAGACGAGGACAGCGGGTCTGGCAGACCTGGGGCCAGCACAGAGAAGCACGGTCAGGAACTCAGACATGACCTCACGTGCAGACACCGTGTTTGTGCCCGGCACTGTGTGTGCGCGGCCTCAAGCATCCGTCGTACACCTGTCTTCACAGAGCCGGGCACTGGCGGGGGCTCGGGGTGGGCAGAGATTAGCAGACACCTGGAAGAGCCAGGATTCCAGCAGGTGCCGGAGCCGGGCCAGCTCCCCTCCTGCACCCGGCCCCGGTTTCCTCATGCTGCAGACCCTGTCCTACCCCCTCCCCAGTTCATACCAGGAGGCATTGGCCACTCAACTCCCTGACTTTAGGGGTCTAGAATATCCTACCCACCGACTCCTTGGTGATCCCGGGCACAGATCCTCCCCTTGTTAAAATTCTTTGGGGCTCCAGTTTCCGTGTCCCCCACATGCAACAGTCACCGAAGGCTTGAAGATACCTTTTAAGGTCAAAGAGAGTAGCGGGGGTGGAGCCCCCGGGTCTGCTCTCGGGGGTGAGAGGCGGTGGAGGGCACACGGGCTTTGGTGGCCACATCGCGAAGCTTTGCTCATCTCCACTTCCTGCCCTTTTGTCACCCAGACAGGCAGGCAGGGCAGGCCCTGAGGGGCCTCGCTGCCTCAGGACGGCCACGGCTGCCTCCTACCCAGCACCCAGAACCCCGTCCAAAGCCCCTCCCTCGGGCTCAGTCCCAGAGCCAGGCGGGGTGCTGGTTTTCTAGCAGCAGGTGGAAGAGCCAGTAAGGTCCCTGTCCACTTCCTGAGGCCAGCGGACCCTCAGATCAATGTCAGGGAGGGCGTCCAGACAGCTTCCACCCTCACAGTGACATCTGGGCGACACTGCCCAGGGTTGGGACCCATCATTGCCTCCCAGGGACAGCCAGACCCCAGGGAGGAAACCGCTCTCCAGGACAAAGCTTGAATCAGCCATGCAGGGACACTTCCGGGGACCCAGGCCTGGGCCACTGGACTCCACACCAGGGCTGTGGCCAGAGATGGTGGATGATCTTAGCAGCCTCTCAAGGATGAGGCCAAGTCCTTGCATTCTCTGTGACCCAAAGCACCTGGTGTCCAGAGCAGTAGGGTGGAGAGCCGTCAGGCCTCAGCCCTCACCCAGGGCAGGTGCGTTCCCCTCGTGCGCCCGCAGGTGCAGCCGGGACTGCAGTGTCCACGCTGTTGCTGAGCAGCTGCACGCATGGCCGGAGGGCCCACGTTGGGGTCTCTGCGCCCACAGGAGGGGCCCAGTCCAGGTCCTCTCCTGCACGTGGGGCCTGGAGGAGTGGGGCCTGGAGGAGGGGGGGCAGCTCAAGGCAGCAGCCCTTCCGGATCAGCCTCTGTGGAAGGCTGCTCACCCTGCGCCAGAGTTGGCATGGACCCCTGGGAGAGAGCTGGGCTTCCAGAGCTCAGAAAACACTGTGTCCTCCCCTGTCAGAAATGTTCATTTAGCTGCCCCACCCTTCCCTGTCCCCTCTGAGAACCAGGAAGCAGGACACGATCTGTTGGGGTGAGGCATTGTCTGCATTCTCTGGGTGCCAGGGAGAGGTCTCACCACATGTACCCCAGCCTGGCCGTGGGCCGAGCAGGGGCTCCTGGAGGTCAGCGATGACAGCTTGTCCAGACTGGGACCGCTGAACGCAACCAGGGCCCCCCAGAGAGGAGGGAAGGGCACAGAGAGTGAGGGGAGCCCTTGTCCCTGCGGATGTGAGGAGCTCGGGAAAGTCCCTTCATTCCTCCCTGACCTTCCTGCCCCTCCATTTGCACAATCCTGACGGGGGGCGGGGGGGGGGGTGCAATCTTCCCGAATGTTTCAGCAAGAGCTGCGGGCAGTTACCTCACCCTTCCTGAATTTGGCAAAGACAAATCACTCCATTGTGGGGTGAGCCAGTGAACCGGTGAAGGATAAAAGGGTCCCCCAGGCCAGCCTCCTCACTCGCCTCTTCCTCCTTCACCACCTGCCGCTGCCCAGCCGCCTCAGCCCTGAAACCATGCCCAAAGGTCTCCTGTGGCTGGGCCTCACCCTGCTGGGGGCCCTGCAGACCCAGGCCCAGGACTCCACCCCAAACCTGATCCCAGCCCCGCCTCTGTCCAAGGTCCCACTGCAGCCGAACTTCCAAGACGACCAGGTAAGGGGCCTGGCAGAGCAGCTGTGGGGAGGACCTGGGGCAGAGTGGGAGCAGAAGGGAGGAGAGGCAGAGTCTTGAGGTGTTAGGACAGGATGGGCCCAGGCTTCAGCTCAGCCTGCCCTGGGGTCTCCTGATGGAAGCCACGCCCCAAGCCTCCATCCTCACCCCAGCCTTGCTGACCTGCCCAGGCCCATATACTCTCCCATAATCTCCATAGTCCGCACAAGGTGGGAACAGCTTCAGTCCCTCCGCATGAGGAGGAAACCGAGGCTCAGGAGGACCAGCTGGCCACTGGCCAAGGGCCACTCCATCCCTGCCGGCCCCAGGCTCCCTGCCGGCCTGCTGGCCTCCAGCTCCCGCCGGCGCCGTCAGTGCAGGCCTGAGTGCCCAGGCAGAGGGGCTCCTGGTTCTGGAGCTGCCCAGCGGTGCTGGGGGCAGAGCTGTAGGGCACCCCGGGGGCCCCCTGCCTCTCACCACCCCCTCCCCTGCAGTTCCAGGGGAAGTGGTACGTCGTGGGCCTAGCGGGGAATGCATTTTCCAAAAACGACCAAGACCAGTTCAAGATGTACACCACCAACTACGAGCTGAAAGAAGACCGCAGCTACACTGTCACCTCCACCCTGCTCAAGTGAGACTGCCACCTCCCGGGGGCGCGTGAGGAACCTGGGGGTGCCCGGGGTGGGTTCTGAGAGGCAGACTGGTGTCACAGCCAAGGAGTGACCAAAGCTGACAGGTAGTCATTCATCCTACCACTCAGTCCTGGGTTCGTATATGTGTTCCTTCCTTCTTCACGTTTATGGGTCCCCCCTGGCGGCAGTAGGAATGAATAGACAGACCTCAGGAAACAAGGCAGAGGGAGCAGGGTGTCCCAGACTGGGAGGAGGGTCCCGGGCCCAGCCTGGAACCCCACCCAGGACTTCACTGGGGGCTTCCAGGGAGGTGGCCTCGGGGCTGGGCCTCGCAGGTGCCCACCTGCCTCAGGAGGGGTTTAGGGGTTCACAGCAGGGGCCGGAGGACTCCGAGTAATAGAGCCACCCCTTCGGGTGGCTGAAAGCCATCGAGTGGCCACCCTGGGCACAAGCTCATGAGCAGCCTGGAGCAGGATGGGCACCATATTGCCAGGGGCCTCAGGCACCAGCACCCACGGGATCTGGGGCAGTGGGGAGAGGAATGTGGGGTGCCAGGGCTCATCCAGCTCCTGTGGCTTCTGGCTCTGGTGCCCGGGGGTCGGGGCTGCAGCACTGGTGCAGCACGGGCATGAGAAGGATGGCTGGGAAGACCAGCTCTGGCAGGGACACGGTGAGAGGGCAGAGTCGGGCCAGAGCTCCGGGAGTCCTTGGCACATGGCGCAGACTGGAGCCTTGGAAGGTCAGTTCCCCAGGAGAGTTTACAGAGAGAAACGGCAAGAGTAGGGGACAAGTGCCCAGGGCGGGGAGGACCGAAGACAGAAAGGCCGCCAGGGGAGATAGCCCTGGGAGAACAGTGGGTGCTGGAGGGAGGGGCTGAGCAGGGTCAGGCAGCCCAGAGCAGCCAGGGCAGGGACAGACGGGGGTCGGCTCAGAGGGAAAGCCCCAGGCCTCCTGCTGTGGTGGGGCACAGGCTGGGCTGGACCCAGGGCATCGGAATTCCGGCCCCTCCAGCTGCAGCCCTGGCTCCCACCTCATCCAGCCCAGGGGGTCCAAGCCTGCGTCTCCCCCTCACCCACACATCTCTCTCGCTCCCACAGGGACCAGGGCTGTGACTACTTTGTCAGAACTTTCGTTCCAACTTCCCAGCCCGGCCAGTACGGCCTGGGCAACATTAAGTGTGAGTCCTGAGTGATGTGGGCCCTGGGGTTGGGGTCCCAGGCGCGGGGTCCTGCCAGACGGGGAGCAGACCTCCCTGCGCCTCCACACATGCTGTCCTGGGCGGGGCTGGGGAGAAAGGAGCGGCTCTGTCCACCGGCCATGGCTGACCCCTGCTGTCCCCCCCACAGCTTACTCTGGACTGCAGAGCTACACCGTGCGAGTGACGGCCACCAACTACAACCAGTATGCCATCGTGTTCTTCAAGAAGGTTGTCCAAAACCGGGAGTACTTCAAGACCACCCTCTATGGTGGGTCTTCACCCGCCCCCTGGGGGACCAGCTCCTGGTCACATTCACCGGAGGGGAGAGGCCCATCCCTGCCCAGCCCCCAAGGTCCCCTCCAGTGCCACCTCTGCCCTGAACCCCCCGGGAGGCCGGGGAAAGAGAGCTTTCCACAGACCCTCCATGAGGAAGGGTCTGAGGCTCGTTCATCCAATCAACAATATTTATGGTGTCTGCCGGCCACCCGCCGGCCATCTTGGCCACAGGGAGGACCAAGGAACTGTCCCCTGAACTGAAGGAGAACTTCACCCGCTTCGCCAAATCCCTGGGCCTCACTGATGACCACATCCTCTTCCCTGTCCCGATCGGTAATGGCCAGCTGGGGAGAAGAGAAAGGGACATGGGGACTGTCCAGGCCCGATGCTGCCCCACCAGGGAAAAGGGGAGAGGAACTTGCTCCCCACCTCTAGTCACTGGTGTCCCCTGGGAGCCACTTTGGGTTCAGAAAGACCATGCCCCACCCCAGGGGTCTGCTGGGCCCCCAGGGATCTGGGTCCCAAGTGTTCTTCCCTGAGAGATGTCTTGGGCCAACCCAGATGAGAGTTTCAGCCCAGGTCAAGTTTCCCCAGTCTCATTGCCTGGGGTACCTCCCCCTATACACCAGGTCCTGTTGATCTGGGCCCCCTCCCCCTCCCTGGGGGCTTGCTCACCACTGGGTTGGGAGGTGCCTTTGTCTTCAGGTGACCAGGCCAGGGGAAGGGGCTGCAGCCAGGCCGCTCAAAGAGCCACCAGCCTCTCCAAGGTTGAGGGGCTGTCAGGGCTCATCAGGTTAATGGGCAAAAGACCTGGGTGCCCAAGCAGGTGGCTGGGCTAATTTGCTTCCTCTGGAGAACAGGTGACCCCCCAGGTCTTCTCAGACCTTTCTTCAAATCCCCTCCCCCCATCATCTGACCCTCTGCTGCCCCATCCCTGAAGGCAACTCCTAGATCTGCTGCTGAGCCAGGCTGGGGGCAGGGGCAGGGGCAGGGCAGGGGTCCTGGAGGTCAGGGGTCACACACACCCCTGCCTATTGTGATGAACTGTCTCCCCCACAGACAAGTGCATCGATGACCAGTGAGCGCCTGGTGAGTATGGAGGGGGGGCTGATGGGAGCCAAAGCGCAGCAGCCTGCCGCTCCCCTACCCTTATTGCCGCCATCGCGACTCCTCTGTGTTCCTCTCAGGTGCCTCCTGTCTTTCTCCTTCCCATCGCCCTCACATCAGCCTCTGCCCCAAATGCCACCTAGCTGCCCCCACCAGCCGGACATTGGTGAGAGAGCCAGGAGACCCTTCTCACCGTCCAGCCCACCGGCTGCTCCTGAGACCACCCTGCTGACGGACTCACTCCTTGACTGCTAAATAAACACGTTCCCCCAGACCCCAGTCTGTGTCCTTGCACCTGGGCCATCTGGGAGGACGAGGGGCGAAGGGTGGCTCTCAGCATTACTCCCAGGCCCCTTTGAGCTCCTTGGTGAGGGATGGAGGCCACAGGACTTGAGCCTGTCTTTGCCTGAACACGTCCTAGCTCCCAGTCCGAGTCCACCCCAGGCCAGTGGTAGCCCTCCCACGTCCTTGCTTTTGAGGGGTGCCAAATCCAGTGAAAACACGGATGGGGTCACACCTTATACCTACACTCAGCCACTTGCAACAGGCCCTACAACAAAGGCCCAGCCAGGTCCAGGGAGCTGGAGGGGACAGGGCTGTCACCCCAACTCGCCAGGCCCCCTGTAGATGTTAGAAGATGGCAGCCAGGGCAGGAGGGGTGCACGGCGGGGAACAGAGAAATGCCCAGTTTGAGGCTGTGCCAGGCAGAGAGGGTCACCAAGGGTAGTTCCCTGCCCCTTTGCCAGCCTCCTGTGGGCCCTTCCTGTCTCCTGTGGGTGGCAGTGTCCATGCTGACTCCATTCAGAGCACTGTCCCTCACCCACACCTCCCCTTTACGATGACCTCTGAACTACCAGGGGCAGGGCTGGGGAGCCAAGAGGAGGGTATGCAGCCAGGGACCCAGATTCCAGAAGGCTTGAGGGCCCGGGCCTGCACCACCACTTGGCTGGGCCTGTGTCTGGGGCCTGACAAGCTCCTGTCCACTCACGAGCTGCAGCTCCAGCCCCTCTATGTCTGTGCCACACACAGGAACTTCCTCTCCAGCTCCTCTCCCCTTGCAAGGCCAGAGCCCAGAGGAGGCAGGCTTCTGAAGGAACCCAGGCTTCTCCACCCCACAGACTTGCACACCCATCCCGTTCACCCTCGGCTGGGGGAATGGAGAGATACTGGAGCTGTGAGCAGTACCAGCCTCACCCCCAGGGAGCAGGACAGGCTGAGACCCAGGCCTAACCGATGCTGCTGTAGCCAGGGAAGCCTGGGCCAGACCAGGGAAAGACCAGCTTAGCGCAGCCTGGACTGAGGGAGGGATGCGGCCGTGACCAAGGCCAGAAAGGCCCACAACGGGAAGGGCACCCATTCGCTGGCTGAAGGGTTGGCAGCTGCACCCAGCACATCTGGCACATCCACTTCAGACAGCAGAGCCAGTCTCTCCTTTGGCCCAAGCAATGCAACTTCCCATCACCACTTGGGCCTGCTGGGTCCTCCAGGATCAAACTCCGAGGACACACATGGTGCTCTGTGTTTCCTCCTGGAGTCTCCTGGTTTATTCGTGTCCTATTGCTGCGATAACAAACTACCACCAACTGGCAGCTCAGAATAACACACACTTATTCCCTTTCAGTACTGGAGACCAGAAGTCCAAAATCAATTCCACTGAGCTGAAATCAAAGTATAGGCAGGGCCGCGCTTCCTCCGGAGGCTCAACGGGAGAAGCCATGTCTCAGCCTTTTCTGGTTTCCCGAGATGCTTTCCTCACATTTTTCAGCTCATGGTCCTTTCCTCCTCCTTCAAAGACAGCAGAGGGGCATCTCCAAATCTCTCTGTTGAGATCCTCACGTGAGCTTCTCTCGAAGGATACATGTCATTACATTCAGGGCCCACATGGATACTCCAGGATAACCTCTCCATCGCAAAATTCTTTTTTTTTTTTTTATCCTCACCCGAGGATAAAAAAAAAAAAAAAAAAATAGAACCATTCACAGGTTCCAAGGATTAGGACCCAGCTATGGTTGGACCTATTACTCAGCCCATCACACCAGGAGTAGAGACAGAATGATGGCAGGGCTTGTGAGATGGCAAGTGAGAGGCGCGCAGGGACCCCAGAGGCAGGGCAGTGCCAAGGCACAGCCCTTTCCTCATTTGGGGACTGGCTAGAGTAGGTGGCTAGTCTCAGGCCCCAGGCACCTGATCAGGCACTCAAGCTACTTGAATGCTGTAGGTGGGGCTGGTCCTGCTGGGGGACTTGCAGAGTCCTGCAGACCCTGCCTAGCTCTCCATGGAGCCTGACTTCCAACAGGACAAGGTCTCCCCTGCGTGGGTCCTCTGATGAGATGGGAGCCCTGACTGGGGAAGGGGCACTCCCCGGGACTAGGCTATCTCCTTGGGAAAGAGGGGAGCTGAGCAGTGCCAGCACCAGGCAGAGGCATGAGCAAGGCTGAGAAAAGCATGCACAGATACACGCCACACAGACACAGCAGGGAGCCTGCAGAGAGATGCGTGAGGCACATGTCCACCCAGCTGAGCACCCAGCTGCCCCCAGGCATGCTCCCAGCATCTTCTTGGAGCCAAAGATTCATCCCTCTCCAGGAATGACCCAAGTGCTATCTGCCACCTGCTTCAGCCACAGGTACAGGTGCCTTCCCAGAGGACTGTGAGGGTGTGGCCAGCCCCTGGTGGGGAGGAGTGGAGGCTTGACTGGAGGGTGGCAGATTGGGGGACTGGAGAAAGGATGCCCACACCTTATAGTTGGGGGCTGGAGGTCAGCTGACCTGAGTGAGGGACAGGTCACGAAAATGCTTCAGGCACTGGTTCAGCTGAGGCCTCACCTCCATTCAACCCGGTTTAGAGAGAAGAAGGCAATAGCACTGCCTATATGCAAGTCAGTGGTGGCCCTGATTACAGGCTGTGGACTCAACTGCACCTCCACCTACCTCAGTTGGGACAGCCTCTGGAACAGAGAAGATCCCTCTCTGCTGGCATAGTCAAGGAGCCTAACTGGACCCCTTTCCTGAGGATGGCCTACTAATGACCAGTGTGAGACCAGGATCAGGCTGCTGCAGCTATGGGGCCTCCTGGTGGCGACAGCTATCAGAGTCCCAGTAAGTGAGCCTCACCTTCAGCTGGAGCCCTGGAGATAACCCCTCTGGGTGCAGCTCAAAAGCGACACTTGCTAGCTGGGTGACTTTGAGCAGGCCTCCCTTTCGCTGCTAATAAAAGTGGTGGGGCATGATGGCAGCTGGGCCGATCCTATCCCGTGGCCTTCCTTGACCGACTGACACACGCAGCATTCTGCCAACTGTGGCTCTCAAGGAGGGTTACAGGGGGCCTTTGGAAACCACGCATCTCAGATTTCTCCCACCCGGAGGCGCCGACTGGCCCACCCGCAGGTCCCCAGCGGCAGGATGGGGCAGAATGGGGACAGAATAGGGGAAGGCGTTCCCAGGCTGCCTCTGCCCCTCCACCCGGCTCTCTCGCCTTCGCGGAAGGTCGGAGCCTCCACCACCGAGGCTTCTCGGTGGGCAACCTGCGGATGGCCCCGCCCGGAGCGAGCGATTGGAGCTCGACGGTGAGGGCGGGGCTCGGGGCGGGGTCTGACGGAGGGCAGGGGCGGGGTCTGACGGAGGGCAGGGGCGGGGTTCTGGTACGGGCGGGGCGGGGCTCGGGCCGCGAGGCTCTGGCTCTGGGGGCGGGGCCCGGCTGTCCAGCAACCAGGTTGCGTTGGTTCGCGCGGTGCCACTCTTCCGGGCCTGCGCGCCACCCACCCTCCACCTTCCGCCCGGCGCCGGCTGTCGGCGTGACGGTCGCAGCGTTTCCGCGTCCCGTGGCCCCTGCGGCGCCCGAGCCCGCAATGTCGGGCCCCAACGGGGACCTGGGCATACCGATGGAAGCGGGCGCGGAAGGCGAGGATGACGGCTTCGGGGAAGCAGGTGACTCGGTGACTGCGGAGGCGACCTTTGCTTTCTCAGGGTTATTTTCCTGCGAAGGGGAATCGGGGCCGGGATAGGGGTTTAGGAGGAAGGAGCGCTCCCATCCCTCACCCCTGGTTGGGTTGCAGCTGCAGGCTCCCTCTCGGGGTCCAGGGCGAGCACCTGCGAGTGGATCCCTGAAAATCGCAGCACAGGGTGCAGCCGGCCCCATTTTACAGATGGGGAACCTGAGGCCGCTTCAGGGACACTCGCCCTTTTGGGATTTGCCCCAGCCACTTCGTTCACTGTGGGGAACGGAGGCTCCTGGGGGGCGGGGCCAGTGGACCTCTTTGGCCCAGCCCAAGGGCTCTTTGGGTGGCTCAGAATCCTCAGCCACCTTTCCTGGTGTGGCCTGGAGCCCTGGCGAATGTGACTTGTTTATAAAGCAGCTTGTTGTGTGCACAACACTGCTGTGCTTGGGAGGTGGGTGAGGTGTGGAGAAGAGAACCCTCAACTCCCCTCTGGAGCCTGCTTCCCATCTGTAAAATAATGATTTAGTGCCTCATGCATTGAGATGTGTCAGGACTGAATAGAAAAATAAATGAGAAATACTTAGTAGGTTCCAAGATGCAACTGTTCAGTAAGTGGTTATTACTATTCTCTTTAGTGTAATAAAGATTGGGTTATTAACTTAGAGCTCCAGACTTAGTGAACGTGGGGTATGGAGTCTGCGTTTTGTTTTGGTAATAGCTTTATTGAGCTGTAATTCACATACATACAACTCATCCATTTAAATTTTACAATTCATGGGCTTCATAATATCCAGAATATTCATTAATCACCACAATAGTTTTAGGACACTTGCATCACCCAGGGTATTTCATAGAAGTGGAAGACCTCCCACAGGGGAGTGCTGGGTTGGCCACTTTGCCCTGGACACTGCTGGCGAACAGTGGCCAGAAGTGTTAAAGCAGCATCAGGGCAGGCCTCCCAGGATTTAGCACAGTGGGGAGGAGGGGCTGGGAAGTGCCCTTGACACAGATTAAAGCCTGGCCCCAGTGGTATGGAGACACCTCCTCCCCCATCCTTCTCCTGGCTGTGTCTCAGGACACAGAATGGGAAATGTTGATAATAATGACCATGTATTAAGTACTTGCTGCAGCCAGACCCTGAGTTCTTGATATACTTGAATCCTCAGCCACCCAGTTCTTTTATCTCCCTTTTCCAGAAAGGTACAGTAACTTCCTAGGATGCAGCAGAGCTGGGGCTGAAGCCCAAGTGCCCTGCTTCCCAAGTCTGAATCAGCTCTGCCACTGACTAGCTGTAGGGCCCTGGGCAAGTCCCTTCCTTCCTGGGCCTTGGTTTCCCCCATCTTCCACAAGATGGTTGGACTGCAAAACCCAGCAGACTTTCCAGGACTCTGGCCTTTGTGAGGTGTAACTCTGAGTGATGACTGCTCTTCCTCCACAATGCAGACACATTTGCATCCATATCCCGGATATGTCCTCTAGCCCTGGCCTTTTCCAAACACTGCCAGCCACTTCCCCTTTTTCCCAGCCTGGCAGCAGAGTGTATCTGAGTCACGGGCTGGCTGAGAACTGGCTTCCGCAGTGGGCACAGGCCCAGACCTTGGGTCCTAAGGGACACTGTGTTGCTGTGGCAGGTCAGGAGTGGCTGTGGAGGAGGGAGTGATGGTTTCTGGTGGGAACCAGGGAAGGCCTCTCAGAAGAGGCGTTTTGAGCTAGTCTTTACATGGCTGTTGTTGAAGCCTTCTGGGTGGCAGGGACAGTTAAGCAAAGGCAGAAAGGCTGGAAAGTTAGAGGCTTCATTCATTCATCTATTCATTCATTCATTCATTCATTCAACAAATGCTTATTGTGTGACAGTGAGGGCCTCGGGGAAGCAGCAGTGAACACAAGACCATTCCATTTCTCAGGACTCGACAGTCTTCTGTAGGGGAGGCAGACCAGCATGCAGATAATCACATCAGTCAGTCCTGGGGGAGGGCCATGGAGGTGTGAGGGGGGATTAGGCCTGATCTGGTCTGGGGTGCTGGGAGGGCTTCCCTGTAGTGACATCCATGCTGAGACTTGAAGAATGAGGAGGACTCATCCAGGAGGAGAGGTGGAAGACAGAAGGAGGTCACGGTACACTCATGCAAAGACAATGGCATGTTCAAGGGGCCTGAGGTGGGCAAAGGCAGATGTGAAAGAGGAAAGGAAAAGGCATGGGAGGTGGGGCTGGAGAGGGGAGTGGAATCTTAGAGTTTTCTGAGTGCTTTATCCTGAGGGAAAAGCCATGGAACAGCTGGACAGATGGGCTTGCCTGGGGACAGAGGCGTGGATTGCCCGACTCAAGATTGTGAGCTCTGGCCTCTAGGCAGGTGAAGGAAGTGGAAAGGAGATTAGCATCCGGCAGGACTTCCCAGGCAGGACACTGGCTGATCTCCCCCTGACCACCCTAACCCTAGAAAACAGGATGGTGTGCTAAGGTATTATTTCTCCAAAGCCTTTCCTCTTTTGATATCCACCCATTTTCCAGAGTGACAGAGGCTCAGGAAAGAAAAGGGACTTGCCAAAGCCCTTTTGGAGTCAGGCTGGGGGATAACAGTTGGGGGTGAGAGGTGTCTGTGAGCCTTGGGGAGACATGGGATCTCTCTTTCCCCTTCCTTCCAGAATATGCGGCCATCAACTCCATGTTGGACCAGATCAACTCCTGTCTGGACCACCTGGAAGAGAAGAATGACCACCTCCACGCCCGCCTCCAGGAGCTGCTTGAGTCCAACCGGCAGACCCGCCTTGAGTTCCAGCAGCAGCTGGGGGAGGCCCCCAGTGATGCCAGCCCCTAGGCTCCCGGATACCCAACCAAGCCCGAACCCTGCCTCCCCGAGCCAGGCTCTAGCCTGGGCACTCACCACCTGACTTAAACACCTTTCCAAGGGCTGGCCCACAGACCCCCGGTGGCCCTGCCGCCTGAGCCACTCGTCAGGTACTCCCCTTGGTGTGTCTGGGTCAACCCCCACCACCCAACCCCCTTCCTGGGGTCAGGTGTGGGCCTGCAACCCACCTTGCCTGCCTGCCCAGTTCCTGGGTACTCTCCACTCTGCCTAGGCCTTGAATGTCCACATTAAACGGGTCTCCAACACCACTGCGCCTCTGTATCCTGAGATGAGAACCCCAGTGACCAACAGGTGAACAGAGCAGTCAGGGTGGTCCCGGCGTTGCTCATGCACTGGCGGCCCGTGGGCCTGGAGGCTGGGGTGGGGTTCTTGCCTTCTTTATTTCTGAACACAGAGAGCACAGGTGAGGTCAGGACTTCCTCCCCACCTGGTATGCTCCTGGCCAATAGCTGCTTCCCCAGCCAGGCTGACAGCATCGGACATGCTGTGTGACCTTGTGTGACGTGCTTAGCTTCTCTGGGTACTACAGCCTTTCACTAAAACCACCACCATCAAGACATGCTGTGCAACTCTGGGCACCACCCTCCCGCTCTTGGCCTCGGTCTCCCAAGCTGGCCAAGAACAGGGTTGGTCTGTTTGTCTATCTGTAAGGGTCTTTCCAAATGGGGAAATGGCAGAACTAAAGATTCAACTCAGCCTGGGCTCCATTTACTGATGCTCCATCACTGGGTCACCTGACGAGAAGGGCGGGGTCCGCGTTAGTACACCACAGACTTGGAACCAGAAGAGCACGAGGCCCCTCTTCCTGCACTTCCACATCCACAAGGTCCAGCTGGAGCGAGGCTAGCAGAGGGTCCAGAGCTCAGGCCTGGGGGCAAATCCTGGCCGCTCACCAGATGTTTGACCTTTAGCAAGTCACTTGACCTTGTTAGGCCTGTTTCTTCATCTGTAATTTGGGGATAACAAGACCTCCTTCCTAGGGTCACTGTGAAGATTAAATGAGGTCTTACTTGAAGGTACTTTCCTAGCTCTGATGCATTATTAAGAAGGAAACTGAGGCTCGGAGAGGTGAAGCACCTTGTGATCCCAGAGTCCCTGTTTGGTTTGCCCCCACTGTGCCCCAGGCAGCTGGGCGCTGGCTGAGAGCTAGCTGGGGTGCTGGGGTGCTCCCCTCCCCCACCCACCCAGACAGAGTGGTGGTGGGAACTAGATAGCCAAACTACCTTCTTTTATTGGATTCTGAATAAAAACACCAACCATGTCAAAGTTTCCATGCAGACTCCTAAAAAACATAAATCTGGACCCAGACCAGTTGGGTGTGGGAGCTCCTATCAGGTTTTGAGGCGGGTTGAGCGCCGAGATTGGGGCTGGGGAGGCTGGGTCGTCACCTTGCTGTGGGGATTGGTTGTGTCCTGGGTGCTGGGCTGGGTGTGTGAGCGGCTGCCGGAGGTGAACAGAGCAGTCAGGGCGTTCCGGGCGGTGATCGCACACCGGCGGCTCACAGGCCTGGTGATAGGGTTGGGGTTCTTGGCCTTCTTGTATTTCTGGACACAGAGGGTGCAGGTGAGGCAGGGCTGGCTCCCTTACCCGGTGCACTCCTGGCCAGCAGCTGCTCCCCACCCTGGACGTGCCGTGTGACCCTGTGTGCTGGGCTCGGCCTCCTCCCACCCCGGCTGAGACAGCGCTGGACGTGCCGTGTGACCCCGTGTGCTGGGCTCGGCCTCCTCCCACCCCGGCTGAGACAGCGCTGGACGTGCCGTGTGACCCCGTGTGCTGGGCTCGGCCTCCTCCCACCCCGGCTGAGACAGCGCTGGACGTGCCGTGTGACCCCGTGTGCTGGGCTCGGCCTCCTCCCACCCCGGCTGAGACAGCGCTGGACGTGCCGTGTGACCCCGTGTGCTGCGCTCGGCCTCCTCCCACCCCGGCTGAGACAGCGCTGGACGTGCCGTGTGACCCCGTGTGCTGCGCTCGGCCTCCCTGGGCAAGAGCTCTAGAGCTAACGACCTGGCCCTCAGCACTGCTCCCCACCCCCCAGAACAAAAGCAGAAAGAGCCCAGCCTCATCCTGGCTCTTATTCCCTCTGTGGGTAGGGCCTCCCTGTTGGGGGGTGCACCTGTGGGCTGAGGTCAAGCACAGGAGGGAGGTGGCCACTAGCCATCACCCCCATGTTTGGATGGAGTAGAGTCCTGGGCGGGGTGGGATGGGGCAGGAGGCCCAGCTCACCTGCAGGTTCTCAAAGTGGGCCAAGGACTTGCAGTGGGAAAGCTTTGCTCCTGAGCTGCTCTGGTAGAACTTATGGCAGATGCGGCAGACATAGCCCATCACAGGCACCATGAAGTCCACACCTGTGGGACAACAGGGTCTCTGCACTCACATTCTCCACGAGCCAGGTGCGCCGCCCTCTTCAGGGACCCATTTATTCCCCACCCGCGCAGTGGGAGCCTAGTCAGGGTGCTGTGCCTGGGTCTGGCCATCGCCTGGAGGCTGGGTCAGAGCTGGGGTCTTACCGTATGCAGTGTTGGGGTTATACGTCTCCGAGTCTTTCCACTCCTCTATGGATATCCCTCTGGACCTCACCTGGAAACATGCAAGTGTGGGCCTCAGATATGGCTTCCCCCCAAGACCCCCACCCCCGAATGCAGGTGGGAGGGCTCTGGAACCCACCCATGCTCTTGAACACAGTTCCCTTGATTTTGAGGAGGTTGTGGGTGGCATTCTCTGAACCTTTGCACATGCTGATCCTGCCTGCCATAGTACCTTTCCCAATTCCATACTCTGTAGGCTCAGTTCAATCACTCCCTTCCTCTAGGAAGCCCTCCTGCTCCCACAGTGGCCAAAATCCTTGCCAGGTGTGCCCAACACATCACATGTCACCTCTCTGAATCCTCACAACTACCTGTGGTTCACGCTTTTTATATGAGAGGAAACTGAGGCCCAGGCGCATTAACTCACTTGCCCGGTGTCACACAGCGGGTTTAGAGAAGAGTGAGGACAGTAAACCCTGGTAGGCCCCAAGTCCTGCTTTCACTTTTAACCATGAACCCCTTACCTGATGCTGCAGTGACCTCAGTTCTAGGGGAGGGTTTTCAGGTGATCGAGGACCCCTGCCTCACCTGCTGGACATAAGCCCCTCCCAGATAAAGCCATCTGACTCCAGCCACGTCAGTGCCACCACACCTAACAGTGCCTTCCACCACATACCAGGCAAATAAACGTGGCTTCCACCCTGGCTGGTTTGGCTCGGCGGTAGAGTGTCAGCCTGCCGGCCAATGAGTCTCAAGTTTGATTCCAGCCAAGGGCATGCACCTCAGCTGTGGTTCGTCCCCAGCCCTGGTCAGGGTAGTGCGCAAGGCACCCAGCTGATGTGTCCCTTGTACGTTATTGTTTCTCTCTCCTCATTTCTCCCCCTCCCACTCTATCTGAAGATAACCAGAAAAATATCCTTGGATAAGGATTAAGGAAAAAAAAAAAAAACCGTGGCCTCTAAGAGTGACAACCACTTCCACTTACCACCCTGGGCTGTGACCCTTCCGCACAGCCTGAGTTGGGACTGTTGAACAGAGGAAACAGGCTCAGAGATGCCAAGGGTCTAGCCCGGGACACCACTCCTAACACTGAGGAGCAAAGCCAGACTCACCCTAATCTGCTCGGGGCTAGAGGCCGCCTTGCAAGCCTCCATCCACAGTCCCCCTGCACCCCCTTTCTGCTGCCCCGCTACCACCCTGGACTGTTACGGGTGAGGTCTTTGGGGGCAGCGGCCAGGCCTTGCTTCCCCATGTCCCTGGTATCCAGCACCAGGAACTGGCCCAGAATAGCTGCTCAGAAACATGTTAAACTGAAAAGAATCCACGCTTCTCCAGCTTCTCACTCATGGGAGGCAGAATAGTGGCGTGTTCTGAGCACAACCTGGCATCCAAATCGGTGAGATGCTGCCAGGAAAGTGCTTGGCACATGCTTGGTATATAGGCAGGTGCTCAAAGCACGTTGCGGGTCCACAGCGCCTCACGCCGACTTCCTGCATGTGCGTGCTGCTCCATCCGGGCCTTTATGGATGCTGTTCCTTCGCCTACGATGCCCCTTCCCTTCCCCCACCCAAGTCGGAATTTCGGCCAGGCTTCGAGGCCCTCGCGTATTCCACTGCCACCCTGCAGTCATCGTGATCCATTTACAGTCATGCAGAATACAGTTACTATTATTATTATTATTGTTGTTGTTGTTGTTGTTATAAATCCTCACCAGAGGATGTCTTTCCATCGACTTTTTTAGATAGAGTGGAAGGGAGGAAGAGAGAAAGTAGCATCAATGTGAAAGAGACACACTGATTGGTTACCTCCCACATGACCCCATCGGGGGGCAGGAATTGAACCTAAGACCCAGGTACGTGCATGCCCTTGACCGAGAATCAAACCTGTGACCCTTTGGTCCAAGGGCCAACACTCTAACCACTGAGCCAAACCAGCCAGGGCAGAATATAGTTACTATTAATACTAAATGGTAGCAAGTGTTAGTGCCTGTAAGCGCCCCTGGGAGGTGGGGCGAGGTCCCTCCTGGGCTGGGAGTCCAGCCTCCAGCCTGCCTCCCACACTTCCTCCCCACAAGCACCTGCTTGCAGAATTCTTCCTCAACCTCGATCTCTTCTTCTTCATTCTCCTCCTCCTCCTCCTCCTCCTCTTCATCGTCCTCAAAGCAGCCCACAGCATCCACCGTGATGAAGTGGTCCTCATCTTGGCCAGCTATCTCCTTCTCGAGCATCTTCAGCTGCCCAGGAAAGTGGGCCAGGGCTCAGGCCAGCTCTGGGCAACCACATCCCTGGGAATCCCAATCCCTCGGACCTGCTCTGAGCTCGGGCTGGGATAAATCTTAACTTGCTGTATGGCCTCGCCAAGACTCTGTACCTCTCTGAGCCTATGTCCTCTCAGGAAGCCGGGGTTACCTCCTTGGCTTTGTCCTTGTGCCCTTGGGACTTCACATGCTCCACAAACTTGCGGGGGGTCTTGAAGTAGCGGTTGCAGATGGTGCAGAAAGGTCGCAAGGACTGTTTGGCAATCTAGGGACAGGAAGGCAGGCCACATGGGCAGAGGGCAGTGTCCCCAGGTGCAGCCAGGCAATGCCCACTGCATTTGCAACCATCTGGCTGCACTCTGCCCCGTACCACAGCGTGGGCAAACACGTCCCTCCCCGCGCCACTGGCTCCGAGACTGGATGGCAGAGGGTAACCACCAAAAGGAGCTCCACGAGCCCCATGGCT